CGCCCCGCCACACCGGCCGCATTGTTAGGCTCGTACTCAGGAAAATCCTGTTGTCCTCTGCCGTGCGCTGTGCGGAATTCCCCCTGCCTTGCTGATTCTTCTGTAGCTCTGAGAGATTGAGAGATTTTCACATTTCAAGTTAAAAGGACACAAGTTGGACTTGTAAGTGGTTTACTCTTCTCTTTTTTGCACAGAGATAATTACTCTGCAGAATTATTATGGGCTACGATTAAAAACCACACCAGCAAAGTGGCACACAGAAGCATTTATTTTTGCTGGTTGGAAAGTAAGAATGGGCTCTGTGCTGTAGTCACACTATTCCCCCTCCACTTTCCTTCCCTTGTATAAAAGCTAAAGGAGAGACCCCCAAGCAAACACAAAGAATTGGATGGGGAAAAGGGGCTGCTGTTGCTTATACCGTGGTCACACTTAGTGCTTGATCTCGACCCTGCTGCCAGCCCGACAGCCCAGTGAGATCTACGAGCCAGGAGGAGTAGTTGTATAGTAGGTAAAACCAGGAAGGCAGTGGCCACAAAGAAGAAGTGATTTACTGCTGTGTCAGTGATGATACACTATTTATAACACTTACTATATATTCCTCTAAACATTTATACAATAATATATCATTTCTGCATAGGATATACATTCTAATACTGAATTTGGTTAAAAAATATGTTGCCTAGGCAGTCGCAGACTGTTTTTCTTCTCTCGGTTGCTTGACATAAATTCCTTTTTATCTGGCAGCAGTGGTCGTATGTCAGAAATATATTTGATTTTTAAAGGACAAAAGGTTTTTCCACTTAAACGACCTGGCTGAAAATGTTAATTTAAAATACAATTTTAAAATGCAGCAAAAGTTAACATCTTTTTCTCTGAATAGCTGTTCTACTGTTCTGATCATTTCCAATTGTAGAGTCAAACTCAGCAATTTGAAAGGGCAGTACACAGATTTACATGAAAAGTCTCGGGTGAATATTGCAGTCATTAATGTGCCAATTTAAAAACTCACCTGGCTGGTATTACTTAACATGTGTGACAATGAGTAACTTTGCTTCAGTTCATTGGGAAGCATTTTAGCTGATGATAGTATTTTTGCTGGAAGGGAAGATTTTTATTTTTCAGTTTTTATCTTAAAAAAACAAACACCTTTGTTTTCAGTTCAAAGACATGGTACTTGGGCTAGAGTTTGGTTCTGTTGTTTAAATATATACCATTAGTGCAGATTCGTACATAGGTAAATACAGATATGTAGTGTGTGCGTGCGCGCGAAAGGCGTGTGTAATTTGTGAAACCCTTCTCTTCAAGATGTAAACAAGAGGATAAAAACCTGTGCAGTTTCCAACTTATCCTGAAAAGCATTGTGTGAGTGGGCTGGAATCCAGCAGTGGTGTTTGGTTGTTTTCTCAAAGTTAGATGTTGCCATCTGGCATTGATAGTGAGATGGCGTTGTCATCAGTTTCTAGATGCAGGAAAGGAATGAATCCTCATCTGTTTCCTGTGGATAAGCAAGAGGTTGATAATCTAGTAAAATCTTGTTACCTTAAAGAAAGCAGGCTTGGAGTTTGTTTACATAATGTAGACCACCTCTAACTTTTATGTTGGTATAGTAAATTTCTTGAGAGAAGGCTGAAGATGTTAAGAAGCTTACTGCATTTGCAATACTTTAAGAAAGATATTTTTCAAGCAGTTTATCCTGTATTTTTCTATACTATTGCTGCAGTCAATTTTACTTTTAAGAGGAAAAAACCCCCAAGCATCGCCTCTGAAAAGCAATAGAAGGATTATTTGATGTAGAGTGGTCTTTCAAGCATTCTTTTAATATTTTAAAAGAAGTTTTAGGTTAAGATCTGTACAATCATTTTAATCTACATTCAAAACAAAAGGTACAGCACATCTGTTGAAAAAAATATAGTTACAGCTTGCCCTGTCTAGAGATGAAGTGTAGTATGGGTAACTAGTGTAGCTTATTATCTGGCTAGCATTTCTGTTTTGTCTTTTCCTTGTTACTTGTAAATCTTTCAGCTTTTACCATAATTGTTTATCATTTTTCCTGTTTCCAGTTTTTTACAAGTTACTTTGTCTGTGATCACCTCACAGTACAGGTTCTGCCAGACTAAGGAAGTTCAGCTGGCTGAGGCCTTTGCAAAAAGGAAGAAATGGTGGACAACCTCTTGAACTTAAAAGGAAAAAAAAAAAAAGTGCTGCTCAAATCTGGCCCTTTTAAAACTTTCTAATTTTCCTTGATGCTGGCTGTTGGTTTGTTAGTTTGTTTTAAACATTTAATGATCCAGCTGCCAGCTTTCAGTAACTGAATTGTATCATTATTGGAGAAATCTGGTTGCACTTTATTAGAGAAAACACTGTTTATACTGTTGTCCTGTTCCTCCCCTGTAATTTTTCCTATTATTGTTTAGAATAACACCCAAGTCTCTCTCAGTAATAGCCTTTAAAAGATTTAAAAGTGTTCAGAATCAACTTCAAGGGAAAAAAAAAACAACCCTGGCAAAGCAAGGAGAATCTTTTTATTAAATATTAGGCACGAGGGTTGACTGTATTAATTTTAAATAATTCCTGTAATATTTTCTCCTTTCCTTTGACTCTTCAGATGCTCACATAATATGCAAATCATTTTACAATGGATACAAAAGAAACATTAAATATATTAAAATCTGCATTTTAATAAAGTTGTCAATGTATAATACATACCCTGCAACTGAGAAAGAATGATAAAAAAGCAATAAAAAGGTAATATAGGCACAGAACTATTTAATAACTTTTAATGTTTTACAGTGTGATAAAAGTAAATGTGGCCTTGAAGCTGTTGGATACAGGTGTAAGAAATATCCTAGTCTGAGTTTAATATGTTTTCACTATGTAGGAGTAGCAGATCTGCATTGTTCATGTGCATTTGCTGTCTCCTTTGAACTGTAGGGATTAAGCTTGTGGGCATGTTTCTTTCTCATTTCAGATGGGGTGGATGTTGAGGATGACCCCACTTGCTCATGGCCAGCATCATCGCCTTCTAGCAAGGACCAGACTTCCCCGAGCCATGGAGAAGGTTGTGATTTTGGTGAAGAGGAAGGAGGCCCAGGGTTGCCCTATCCATGCCAGTTTTGTGACAAATCGTTCAGCCGCCTCAGCTACTTAAAGCACCACGAGCAAAGTCACAGCGACAAGCTCCCTTTCAAATGCACATATTGCAGTCGTCTCTTCAAACACAAACGGAGCAGGGACCGCCACATAAAGCTTCATACAGGAGACAAGAAATATCACTGCAGTGAGTGTGACGCAGCGTTCTCAAGGAGCGATCATCTTAAAATTCACTTAAAGACTCATACGTCCAACAAGCCATATAAGTGTGCCATTTGTAGGCGTGGATTCCTGTCATCTAGTTCGCTGCACGGACACATGCAGGTTCACGAGAGAAACAAAGATGGCTCTCAGTCCTCTTCCCGGATGGAGGACTGGAAAATGAAAGACACTCAGAAATGCAGTCAGTGCGAAGAAGGCTTTGATTTTCCTGAAGATCTTCAGAAGCACATTGCAGAATGTCACCCCGAGTGTTCCCCTAATGAAGACCGATCTGCTCTTCAGTGTGTTTACTGTCATGAACTCTTTGTAGAGGAAACGTCTCTGATGAATCACATGGAGCAGGCTCATAATGGTGAGAAGAAGAATTCGTGCAGCATTTGCTCTGAGAACTTTCATACTGTGGAGGAGCTCTACAGCCACATGGACAGTCACCAGCAGCCAGAGTCGTGCAACCACAGCAACAGCCCATCTTTGGTAACTGTGGGCTACACCTCCGTTTCTAGCACCACTCCAGATTCAAATCTCTCGGTGGATAGTTCAACAATGGTGGAAACAGCTCCCCCTATACCAAAAGGTCGTGGAAGGAAGCGGGCAGCTCAGCAAGTGCCAGATATCACTGGTCCTTCGAGTAAACAGGCAAAAGTTACCTATAGCTGCATTTATTGCAACAAACAGTTATTTTCCAGCCTTGCAGTTTTGCAGATACACCTGAAAACTATGCATTTAGATAAACCCGAACAAGCCCATATCTGTCAGTATTGTTTGGAGGTATTGCCGTCTCTCTACAATCTGAACGAACATCTTAAGCAAGTCCATGAAGCTCCGGACCCAGCACTGATTGTTTCTACCATGCCTGCCATGGTGTACCAGTGCAACTTCTGCTCTGAAGTGTTCAATGACCTCAACACCCTTCAGGAACACATCCGATGTTCTCATGGATTTGCCAACCCTGCTGCTAAGGACAGTAATGCATTCTTTTGTCCCCATTGCTATATGGGATTTCTTACAGATTCTTCTCTGGAAGAGCATATTAGACAAGTCCATTGTGATCTTAGCGGTTCCCGTTTTGGTTCCCCTGTGCTTGGAACCCCAAAAGATCCAGTGGTGGAAGTGTATTCTTGTTCTTACTGTACAAATTCTCCAATATTTAATAGTGTTCTTAAACTGAACAAACATATCAAGGAGAACCATAAGAACATTCCTTTGGCACTGAATTACCTCCACAATGGAAAAAAATCCAGAGCCATGAGTCCCTTATCTCCTGTAACCATTGAGCAGACCTCTTTAAAGATGATGCAGGCAGTTGGAGGTGCTCCTCCTCGTCCTGCAGGTGAATATATTTGTAATCAGTGTGGTGCTAAGTATACTTCCTTGGACGGTTTTCAGACTCATTTAAAAACACATCTTGACACTGTCCTGCCAAAACTGACCTGTCCTCAGTGCAACAAGGAATTTCCAAATCAGGAGTCTCTGCTGAAGCATGTTACCATTCATTTCATGATCACCTCAACCTACTACATCTGTGAAAGCTGTGACAAGCAGTTCACTTCTGTGGATGACCTGCAGAAACACCTACTGGACATGCATACATTCGTGTTCTTCCGCTGCACCTTGTGCCAGGAGGTTTTTGACTCCAAAGTCTCCATTCAGCTACACTTGGCTGTGAAGCACAGCAATGAAAAGAAGGTATACAGATGTACGTCTTGTAACTGGGATTTCCGCAATGAGACTGACCTACAGCTTCATGTTAAACACAACCACTTGGAGAACCAAGGCAAAGTGCACAAGTGCATCTTCTGTGGCGAGTCCTTTGGTACAGAGGTGGAGCTGCAGTGTCACATTACTACGCACAGCAAGAAGTACAACTGCAAGTTCTGCAGCAAAGCTTTCCATGCTATCATCTTGCTGGAAAAGCACTTGAGGGAAAAGCATTGTGTTTTTGAAACAAAAACTCCAAATTGTGGAACAAATGGGGCATCTGAGCAGGTTCAGAAGGAGGAAGTGGAACTCCAGACCTTGTTGACAAATAGCCAGGAGTCCCATAACAGCCACGATGGCAGTGAAGAAGATGTGGACACATCTGAGCCTATGTATGGCTGTGACATTTGTGGAGCAGCTTATACCATGGAGACTCTTCTGCAAAATCACCAGCTTCGAGACCACAACATTCGACCTGGAGAAAGTGCCATAGTGAAGAAAAAGGCTGAACTCATTAAAGGGAATTACAAGTGTAATGTGTGTTCTCGAACATTCTTCTCTGAAAATGGGCTTCGGGAACACATGCAGACACACTTGGGACCAGTGAAACATTATATGTGCCCAATCTGTGGTGAGCGGTTTCCGTCTCTTCTGACTCTTACTGAACATAAGGTCACGCATAGTAAGAGCTTGGACACTGGAAACTGCAGGATTTGCAAGATGCCTCTCCAGAGCGAGGAGGAATTTTTGGAGCATTGCCAAATGCACCCTGACTTGAGGAACTCCTTGACGGGGTTCCGCTGTGTGGTGTGCATGCAGACAGTGACCTCCACACTGGAACTGAAAATCCACGGCACATTCCACATGCAGAAAACTGGAAACGGTTCTGCCGTGCAGTCCACGGGGCGTGCACAGCATCTGCAGAAACTGTACAAGTGTGCTTCTTGCCTGAAAGAATTCCGCTCAAAACAGGATTTAGTGAAACTTGACATCAATGGTCTGCCATATGGACTGTGTGCTAGCTGTGTTAATCTCAGTAAAAGTGGTAGTCCAAATGTCAACATCCCTTCAAGCAGTAACAGACAAGGCATGGGCCAAAATGAGAGCTTGAGTTCCATTGAGAACAAAAGCAAGGCAGGGGGACTGAAGACTCGATGTTCTAGTTGCAATGTTAAATTTGAATCAGAAAGTGAACTCCAAAACCATATTCAGTCAATCCACAGAGAGCTTGTTCCAGACAGCAACAATACACAGCTGAAAACACCACAAGTATCTCCAATGCCCAGAATCAGCCCCTCCCAAACTGAAGAGGTAATCCTTTTTTCTTTGCTCTTGACACCTTCCATCCTTTTGGAAAAACTCCCCCTTTTTTTCAAGCTGTCTTGTCACTTGTCATTAAATGCTTAGGCTGAACCATGTTACATTTCCATCCACAGACATTACTTAGTAATTACTTGCTTCTTGATTTGCCTTATATCTTGGATTGAATTGTGTGGGATAGGACTAATTCCAGTCTCCCTAGGATATTGTCTTCTGTGTCACTGAGGAGACCTATCTTCATGCCAACACAACTGAGATCTGGAATCCTATCCTAGCTCCCTCACGCGCTGGAATCCCCAGCTAGGAGTTGTGCTTACGGCAGAGAGCGTTAATGACAGAGGAGTAGAATACAGTGAGCCAAAATGCTGGCATAAGGGGTGGATTTTTAAAAAAAACATTTGTGAGCAACAAATTGAGGGTGTTTTTTTGTAAATTGTGTTGTAGACATTCAATTTCCCCTCTTACAGCGTATTTTGATTAAGAAGAAGTGCAACACTAGCCTAAGGGAAATTGGGAAATCAGTCTTTTGGATGCAACTCCTTATTGTGTTTTTCTTTCCTGATGAACAACATTCTGATGTCACTGAAACACCTCATGCTTGATCATTAAAGTCTCATTCATGCAGCATAACTTATGAAGTAGGTTTGTTCAGAAAACAAAGGGTTGTCTCTTGAAAGATCTCATCTGCTTCCTCAGTCACCTCTGACCAAGTAGTAACACCTATAAATGGGAAGGTAGAGGGGACACGTTCCGAGAGAAGGGAATCTGTTTTATCTTCAGAAATATTATCAATAGAATGGGTTAGAGTTAATATTTTAGGCATGGTATCTTGCATAATGACCACTTAACAGTTCAGGAAGCCTAAAAACAGAGCACAGACAAATGATAAAAAAGAATAGCTTTTGTTTCAAGAAAGCTTTTAACCTGTAATGGTACGAGCATTGTGCAACCCATTGCTATGAATGTGTATGGATACCCTGTGGCTAGGGAGCTGTTGCTCTTCCCTCACCTTCCTCACTCCCTGTTTGTGAGCCCATCTGTTGGGTAAGAAATCTGTCAGCCTGTCATCCAACAGTATTGTGTAAACTGGAGGGCAAGAGGGAAGTAAAGAGGGAGGAGGAGAGACACATAAGAATACATGAGCCAAGAGGTAAGTATTTGTGCAGCTACCAAGAACATAGCTGGAGATAGGCTGGGAGAAGGTCACTGAGGCAGCACAGGGTCTGGAGTACTACCGAGAGGGAAGTGTATCTGGGAGACAACGGTGAAGTACCAGGTGGAATGCATCTGCCAGGGAAAGACCCTATGCTTTCATGACTTCTACATCTCCAGTTTTCAAAATGGGCTGTGATGGGAGGCACTTGGGGAATGGGATGTGATGTGGAGTTTATGGAAGGAACAAGTGGTTAGACTGAAAACCGCAGGTCTAAGGAAAATGTTCTTTTCGAAGAATAGAGAGTGAGAACCACAGGATTACCAGCTGCATGTTTTTGATAGATTCAGTCTTCCTGGCTTCTGTTTCTGTCATCTTTCTCCAAGTGACTACTTGAAATCTCTCTTCCCAGTCATGTTGGAAACAAATTCCTGCTACCTCAAGCACAATCAGAATTATGCATGTTAAGACAGATACCATAATAAGATGTTACCAACTCGTCTTTCTCTTGTTTGTAAACTAGACAAAAAGAGATATGGAGGTCCTTTGTGGTGATATAAGGTCAGTTACCTTCAGTGTCATCAGTTAATCTTCTTGTATCTTGTATGGATCAGATATGATAAGAGTTTTTATGTCTTCTTCTGATTGACATCATGTTCCTTTTCTTACTCCTTTCAATTTTTCTCTTGGAAATGTATTTAAGATAAAAAAGCCTTTTAAACTGCAGCACAATTTGTGAATAGCATTTGCTTGCTTTCAGATCACCATTTCCACCCCGCCCCCATTCAGAATATGTAAACGGATTTTTCAGTGTCTGTGATTCTAGTTTCCACATAAGTAACCTAGACTTTCAGATACTTTCCGATTCTTTTCTCATGGGAAGCACAAAACTATCAAGTTCCTGATAGAGCACTGGTATTTCTGGAAACCATAAATACATGTCTGTAAAATCCTGAAGATTTATTTTTTTTTTAGCAGATATTACTGGTTTCAAATTGTAGTGATGCAAGCAATGAGGATCAAAATTGAAAGTGGTAATGCACAGATGTTTAATACTATAGATTGGATATCTAGGCTGAGGAAAATGAAAATGTAAGCATATAAAACAAACAGTAAAAACAAACTGGATATCTACAATTTGTTATTAGTCAGTGGCTTTGCTACTCCACTGGAAGGATATTTCTTGAATTGAATGGGATGTTGAAGATGGCTACTTAAACACGCTATTTTAGGGAAATCTTTAACAAAAAAAATCATCATATTAAGGAGTGAAGGCTTCATTTGCATTATTGAGTGTCATCTGGTTTGAGATTTCAACCTTTATATAAAGAACGTTTCATTCACAAGGCAAGAAAAACATGGAGACTAGTTGTCAGTCCATTAATAGTGCTGAATACCCGTTGTTACTCAGTAATAGATTATTATGGTAAGAGTACTAGAAAATATCTTTTGAAGATAAAAGATAACACTGGAAAACATCACTTATGGCTTCTTTGCCAACTATTCTCACGGTTGAACTAGAAAACTTCCCTTTCTAGCCTGTACCAAAGAACATGATAGGGTGCAATTACCTTAACATGGTGCAATGTCATCAGCTGAGCTATCACCTGCTGAGCTCACCCTGTTTGCTAAGAGAAGCATGTTGACCTGAATCATCTCTGAAAATTACCTTTCAGTTGGAATGGGAAATGATGGGCAGTGCTCATCATCAGTTACAACAACCAAGGAACAGGTCAGAACTTGTTAAGACCATCGTACTGCTGAATCTAGTACCAGAAAGCTATCAAACAGACTTAAACAGGCAGATTGTGGTAACTAGCTATTGAAAGACCTCTAAAATTGGTAAGTCTGTAATTTATTCTTTGAGTTATGCTGAATTCAGGTTGTAGATTTCTTGTAAAGATTTTGAATTATTACAGGCATACTGTTAGGCTAGGATAATAGTCTTGGCAATAGCTAATATTTAAAAGTGGAGAACAAGGTCTAATAGGATAGTGAATTGGGAACTAGACATCAGTCCTTCTTCTGTTGCTCATTTGCTTTGGTGACTTGGACAACTCCACTTGAACATCTTTGCTTCATTTTCCTTATTGAGAAAATAAGATTGATACTTCCTGAAAAGTGTGTTTCTGTGCTTAATTGCGATACATTTTTTGTAAGCACTTGGAAGATGAAAGGCAGTGTTCAACAAAACCTGTGCTGCCTTGCTTCTCTTGCTGTGCCTTGATGTGCTGTCATGCACCTAATGAGAGAACTCCTGACTCAGCAGAAGGTGTACCCTCACTTCTTGAGCTTCGTGACTTCTGTAGATGCAGAATCATAGCAGTGTAACTGTACAATAAAAATTATACTGTTAATTGCTTAGCTGGCAGGGGAGGAGGGAATGGACTCCGGCTTATACCAACAATTTACTGGCAAAACCTATCTTATGCTAGTGTATCCATGTGTGCAACTGCGCCCAGTTTGGGGTCCTGTTGGTAACTTCCAGAGTAGATACTTAGCAAGCCTAATTGCTTCTGTAAGTAGCTTAAGTTAGGTATCACTTAGTTCCATGGATGTGAAGCTCATGTGAATACTGTATTACCTGTGGCAATGCAGACAGTCCTCATTAATAATACAAGAACACTCTGTTTTTTCTGGTCCTGAGAAGAGAAGGAGCAGTGCAAGTACACTGCTAAATTACTGCAGGAAGAAAGATGCTTATTTAGGTGTTGCAAAAGGCTTGCAGAGACTCACTATAGCAGAGAGTATCTGAGGTGCTGCACAAGGAAGAGAAGTAGCAATTGTCACACTGCCTGAAGAACTGAGCAAGTGTGATCCTGGGGCTGCTCTTCTGTACTGTTGTGGTTGTCCAGAGCTGTATGCCAGGATGGACATGTCAGAGCAGGGGACTCCGGGCACATCACAGCACCATTCTGGAAGGAGCCTTGAAGGTGCAGGCTGACAATGAGCTTGTGGAGACGGAGTCACAAAATTCAGATGCTGCAGAGAGCTGGTGGCTCGTTGAGACTCAACTTATCTGACCTCAGATGGATCCAGAGATGGTATCACCCTGCAAGAAAGGAGCTGAGGTAGGTGTACTATTTTATCATTGCATTTTTTGCTCTTTATCCATGGGCCCTGAATCTACCTTTGTTCTCTTACTATTCCTCCCCCCTTCTCAAAACAGTGCCAGACTCACAAAGACAGAAAACAGGAACTGCCTTTTGAAGTAGCTGGTTTGTTTCAGCAGCATGCACTGGCAATCAGAGGCAGAAAGAAGAGAGAAAAGAAAGACTCTGAGCAACCCAGAAATGTTCCCAGATGCATGCTTTTGACAGGGCAGGCAATAGCATTTTAGCAACATAAATCACTGCTCTGGTAACTGAAAAAAATGCACTGAAATCAATAGCCATGCATTTAACTGAAACACATAAAGAAATTAAAATAATCCTCCTCATCAGCAATCCAAGCTGATCATTCTGACTATAGGATTTTTAGGAATAAGCGCATAAAGTTGTAATGTAAACATAAGAAGTAGTGCCTTGTGTTTCCTGTCAGTGAATCCAGGCCCAGAACAACTGATTTTCATGCTGGATTTTGGATTTGGGGACAGAAAAAGGTAAAGAAGGTTTGTTGCTGGCACAAAGATTTGGCTTTGAAATAGTGTGGAAATCTGTGGCAAACATATTTTCTGCTTCTGGAGTTTCAGAATGAGCTCACTAAAAATATCATTTTTGTCTTGCATCATTTTGGCATTGTTTTCAGGAAGGTGTTGTTTATGATGTATATTCTTAGGAAGGGCTACCCTGTTTTTCTTCTCATAGTAGGCCACCCTCACATTATGCTGTGCTCTTAT